GCTTGTGGTGTGCCTTATAAGGATTTGCTATTGAGGTAAAAAATTATGTTGACTACTTTATATTTTGGGGACTTCAAAAGAGTAGTGAAGACTTGTTTGTGAGTAAGGAGCTAATTGGTAAGGTAAGCTATTTATAGAGAAATTAATGGTGTGAGTATGAGAAATTAATAACCAATGATCTAATTATATGTGTGAGAAATTAAAGCATTTGGATTTATTTTTTCAAACTTATGAAAGATTCATAAACAAAATGATTTAATTGCATGTGTGAGAAATTAAGCTTGGGATGAAGTTTCAAACTTATGATCACGAATTGATACCAAGGAAATAATTTCACTATTAACTTTATTTAACAATAAATTAAGATTATTGATAGCCAAACCTAGGGACTAATAAATAAATATTTTATTTTGCTTTTTGGTTTTTGGTTTTTGAGCCCTTCGTACGAATTGATACCAAGGAAATAATTTCACTATTAACTTTATTTAACAATAAATTAAGATTACTGATAGCCAAACCTAGGGACTAATAAATAAATATTTTATTTTGCTTTTTGGTTTTTGGTTTTTGAGCCCTTGGTAAAGCACACACGTATCTGCATTAACCCTTGATGAAATCATTAGCTCTAAAATTAATAAATTCCAATTCTAGACTAATATTTTAATCAGTATATGTATAGGTTAATCATTTATGTGGAATAGTATATATAAATACAATAATAATTAATTGTTTGAATGGCTTGATATATTAATTTTAATGACGAATAAAGTGAACTGCTCTAACATATATATGTTTGAGATTCTTGTTCACCACTATATATATAGATGGATATTATTCCAATTTAGAATCTATGGCCAATTGGCCATCATTACATATTGAGCAGGCCAAAGTAGTAGGTGGTGAATAACGTATGGTTGTTATATGAAATTATTATCAACGTGGATGAGCTATATAACTTTCATTTTATAGGAAATATTATGCTTTCATTTTATACTAGTACAACGCCTGATATGGCACATAAGTGTGAAACGGTTCACTTGATAGACATTCGATTCCGGTTTTTATGGACAAGCCCGGTTTAGTAATGAGGCGGTCCATGGAAGCCTTAGTGCTCGTTTTCTTCAAGGCCCTGCAGATTAGTTTTACTAAGTGGGGTTGCTCGGTCCATTTAGTAAATGCGGATTGGTGAAGAGTGTTTTGCTCGGCCCATGTGGCGGCGGTATAATGGGCTCGACCTATAAAAAATAAGGGTAATGAAGAATTAGAGGAATGGGACGGAAGAGAGGTGAAGCGTGAGGCACAAGCTAAGCCTTCAGGTATAAATACGCAGACGAGGAATATGGTAAGGGAAGACACTCTACAAACCCTAACCCTACTTACAGTTACGTACGATTCTCTTATACTCCTCTATTCCTTACTGACTTGAGCGTCAGAGAGTTACCGCCGGGAGCACCTCCTGGCGTCATTGCAGGTCTTCGAGAGCTTGAACCAGACGAGGAACGGAAGGGAACCGGGTTGAGGTGTGGAAGTGTTATCTATTGACGCCGTCTGTGGGGACTAAACTATATTCTCTTACCGATTGAGGATGACGAACACAATCGCAGATAACCAATCAAGGAGGAATTCAGACGATAGTTTGGAAGAGGCATGGGTAGCAAGGACACCCTATGGTGGAGGGCCGCCAAAAGGATGGGTTGCTGGAGAGGGCTCGATGACTACTCCCCTTGTTCCCCCGTCGGATCAGGAGAAGGGATCGGCGAACCAAGGAGTGGGCCAGGAGATAGTAATACGGGCATCGGTGCCAGAAGTGGTACCGGAATGTGGAGGACCGATGATGCAGGTGACTAGAGAAGAATTGGATCGCATCGTTGCGGAGGCAGTAGGTCGGGCGTTGGTTGCACGAGACGCGGCGATGAAGGAGAAGCCTACCGCCATGATAGAAAGGCCGGCTGTGGAGGCGAAACGGTCCGTTGAGGTTGTGGAACGACCTATGGTGGCTGCAGAGCGACCAGTTGTTAGGGTTGAGCAGCATGTCCCCGGGATGTCTAGGCCTTTGAGGAGCGGTAATCACCGCAGGGATGATCAAGAGGAGAGATCGGTGATATCGCCAGTGGTTCCGAGACCGTCCAGGGATGCGTTGATGGAGCAGATGGCCAATGAAATAAAAGAGCTCCAAGCAAGGGTGACAGGAAGACGACATCTCAGAATGCAGGGTCATCCCTTCACCGATGACGTTTTGGGTGCCGATTTACCCCACAGTTTTAGGAAACCAAGTATATACTACGACGGGTCCTCAGATCCGGCAAGGCATTTGCGGAGTTTTGAGAATGTCGCGGTCTTGCATCGATAT